GCCGAACGAGGTGCCTTCCGGTATGGGTGCATTCAAGCCGGGTATTTTCAAACTAGGATATGATGGTGGCGGCCCGTAACGTTGTTGGGCAATAAGCCATGGTGGTGGAATTTTATGTGAATTAGGGCCAACCGGCATACCGAGTGCTATGCGCAACTCTTCGGACAAGTCGCCTGGTTTCTTCTCTTTCAAACGTGTCTCATACTCTTTGCCCTCATAGTATAGATCACCATGTATGGTCATGCGCGGCTTGGTCTGCCACTTGAAGAAGGCATCGTGCAGCTTCTGGTAGTCTATATCGATTTTGCCCATTTTAGGACGTACACGTTCACGCATTTTCGATTTTAATGACTTAGCATCGTCCTTCTCCTGAAGCGATTCCCGCATTTCCATAATGCCAGTCTTTTTGATGAAGGCTGGCAAATCGAAGGGTGGCTTCTCAATACCACGCTTACCCTGCAAATATTTTCGCTTAAAACACCAGTGACGTGGCACTTGCACAGTGTTGCGATAAGCCTTTAGTTGTACAAGTAATTTGGGATCACGCGCAGTTACGTCGTGCATTTCCACAACGTCGGGGCGTGAGACCAATTGTTTTAGCTCAGCAACGCTCAAGCGCGTGAGTTTCTTCAGTTTGCGTTTAGATAATTTCTCCTTGTCCTCTTTGGTATCCTGCAACAATCACAAAATGTATAAATAATAATATAAAAAAAAGTATTGGCTTTACACAAATATGTAGAAAATACCTCATTATCTTCGTCATCATCGTCATCTTGCATCTTGTCTATTGGCTTTTTGGGCACAGCTGCACCTTCATTCTCCGTAGTTGATTTGTCCTTCTCTGTGACCTTGGGTTTGTTCTCCAATTTAAATATTTCGAAAACGCGATAAAATTGCCTATACATTGGCGCTAAATCGGCTATAGTTATGCGTTCCGGTATATATTCTATGGTTACATCATCATCACCGGCAATCTCCGATTTATCTTTCTTTTCAACAGCGCTTTCTTTTTGTTTTTGTTTCTCTTTATCCTTATCCCTATCCTTACCTTTTCTGTCCTTCTTATTCCTGCTCGATTTATTTTTATCTTTGTCTTCACTTTCATCATCCGAGTTCTTTTCATTCCGGGCCGCCTGTGCGTCGTCATCTGCTTCTGCCTCATCGGCTTTATTTTCAACTTCGCCAGATTGATCATTGTCAGCGTCATTTATGTGCTCGTTGTCACGTTGCTGCCTAAGTTTGCGATTTTGCTTCTTTCTACGTTTTTTCTTCTTATTTTTTTCGGCTCGGCTTTGTTTACCGCCTTTCCCGGTTATGCCACCATTCATTTGGGCCTCACCTTCATCATCTGAGTCATCACCAGCATCACCATATTCATTACCTATCACGCCGGCATTTCCAACGCCACCACTGTTAGCTTCATTCGAAGTAAAATCTTCAGCATTCACATGGAATTCAGCCGCGCGCTGATCTTTTAAAGCCAAAACATCTTCCAACGCTTTCGGAAGTACCACTTCGGTAGGCTTTTTATTTTTATCGTCATCATCGACATTTTCACTGCTTTCACCAGCTTCACCTACATTATCCGATGTTGTGGAACTGCCCGCCGTATTATTACCGTTACCACCTTTAGGTTTCTCAACCTGCATAGACATGAGTGGCATGGGCCGACCGACCGGCTCATTATTAGGTACCTCCATCCGAGATGGTGGTGGCCCCTGATTCCATGGTTGTGGTGGCGGTATTTGTTGATGCGGTGGTGGTGGCATCTGTTGAGGATTCATTTGTTGCATGGATATTTGCTGAGGATTCATTTGTAATGGCGGTTGTAGAGAATGCTGCGGCGGCGGTGGCAACTGCTGTGTTGGTGGCTGCAATTGTTGTTGAGTTGGTGGCGGTATTTGTTGTGGTGGTGGGGGCATTTGTTGGTGCGGCATATTAAGACCGGGCGGAAATATTGGCGGTGCCGGTGGCCCAGGTAATAAACCTGGTGGTGGCCGCATGCCAAGCAATGGTGGTGGAGCGCTTTGCATGGGTCTGGCACCTGGTGGCATAGACATTTGTGGAGGCTGTGAATTTTTATAATTATAAGTGACTCTTATTTAATAAAATGAAACAGAAATACCTGATCACCCATATGTTTAATAGTTAACAACTTTTAATACTTTTTCAAACACAGAAAATTATTTTTACACAGCAGCTAAACACCTTTTAGAAACAAACGATGGGAAAGTCGCGTTTAAATTTACATTCTCATGTTTGTTATCGATTAACGGAAACATCAAAAATCGATAGTGAATGTGGTACGGTGGGCTAATGGTATTTACATCCTTTTTTATGATTTAATGGTATATTAACAGAATTGACTTTTCAATACTTAATAAAGTTAAAGTAAGTCTGCTAATTCTCATTTAATAAATGTTTTTAATCATTGATAATTGAAAATTAATATTACTATGCATCACATTGCATCCAAAGGCAACCAGTTCCAAGGGCAACTGGTCCCAATCAACTGGGCTGAAAGTAACTGGTCCTAAATTCTGAAAGTAACTGGTTGAAAAAGTACTTGGTTGCAAGTTAATAACAGTTTTACAACTAATTTGAAAATTTTTAGATTTCAACGAAGTAACTGCTTACAAAAGTACTTTGTAAACCTTGTCAAGCTAACTTCCAATTGTTTTTTATCGAGAGTGTGTTTTAGATTTCACCAATTAATAATAACTAAAACCAAAGTAACTAGTTTGAAAATTATGGAACATTTTTAGTGGTGCAGATTAATCGAACTTAAGCTTTTGTGACAGCACTCTCTTATTCGATCTGTAGTTCAAGAGGCCTTGTGTGTTAGAACAACATTCTCTGAGTAAGAACAAGTGAAGACATCAACAAGTTATAAGGGCTTCAAAGTGCTATGTAATACATATGATCTTCCCACACACTGGGAACCTGCAATGATCTTCGTTCTGTACTCTTTTCTGTCTCAACACGTAGGTACATGAAAATCAAGATAAAGTTAGGTTATGTGTCAATGAAGGGTTTTCATTTTTAGCGATGACGACCTCGAATTACACTTTAAATCAGCAATTTTTCCCTGATGGATCTAGAATGAATTGATAACAGAAAATCTTAACTCATTATTTTTTCTTAACAGCGCTGTTCGTTGAAGCTAAGATTTTTCTTGCGCGTACATTGCCCAAGAGGAAAACTTCCATATAGCGATAAATAAAAAAATACATTTTCGAAATTTATTTATTTTTATTATAGTCTTATATGAATGTGGCAATTTCGTAAAGTCCAATGTATATTTATTTTACCTAAAATACTACTGCATCCTTTTTTATTAAATAAATAACGCCTATAGACAAAACAGCTTTATGGCATTGCATTATTTTATGCTATAAACGCAAATATCTCTTACAAATACATAAATGTACGCGGCCTTACATAATGCAACTACAAGCAATATACTGACGAAAGAAGAATATTTAAAAGCTTACACTCAATAGCAACATTAAATAAATTAGCCATTGAATTTGCAAATGAATCAAAAATAATATTTGAACAAAATATGTATGTATGTAACAAATAAGCTTAGATGTACTTATGTATAACAATTGCTTTAAAAATAAATTTTATATGAATATATAAAATATATTATATATATAATTTTCAAACTAGTGAATGTATGAAATATTTACGTTGTAATGAAATGATATAACAATATTTTATGATGGTATGGAATAATGCAATAAAGGAACTTAGAAATAGTATGAAAATACAACTCACAATGAGTAAAATGAGAAACTGAATTTAAACAAGCTACCGAAATGGCAATTGTGTATGAATAACAAGTACACGTAAGTATTATTCTAAATATTTGTGTTATTTATATGCACTTGCGTGTGTATGCCTGTAAAGAAAATATAGTACTATGAAAAATTCAAAATACAAATGTTAATGAAAGCAAATTCTAAGTGCATTATTGTTATCAACACAATTGCTCGATGAAAATATGTGTCGATTAATCGCTGTTTTTTCTTTCTCTAAATACAAATTTATTCAATATTCTATGTATGTAACTACTTAAATTGAAAATTTATTTTGCAATAACAGTCAATATTTAAGTATCTAGATGACTCAATATCAAGGTGTACATATGTAAGTTTTGACGAAACGGATACTTTCGATTTTTTTACTTAACAGCCTACAAATATGTTTGAGTACATAAATGTACTGCACATTTGAACCACTCTATACACACAGGTACATATTGGTATGTACATAAATTTGCTTATAAATAACATTAATCAGGCGATTTAAAAATTTTGTTAAATAATTTTCAAAAATGTACTATCTTTTTACAGTAATAACAATTTTTTCGCCTCTTACAATGGCTACTTACAACAGTTCATATAAATAGAATATTTCCTTCATATACATGCATACAATATATACAAAACTAAAGTATTCATGACATATATTAAAAATATGACTGAAGTGGGATTTGGAAAACTTTAGAAAAATATTTAAATCACAAAATGACATTAGTTTTATGATTAAAATTTTAAATTTTACATGTTGTCTGGTCTAATTACGAGCATTTGTATTATAAGAAAATCTTAAATTTATGCAGTACAGCTTCGAAGCTACACTCTTCTCCCCTCAACCTTTCACTCTCTTCCCACCTTTTTCATCAAATCGTTGACTTAGTATTTTTTCTTATTTCTTGCAATCCGTCGAATTGTCAAAATTGTCGTTCGTAGCCATATAATTATTTTGACCTCTTTTAACTAAAAACTAAATGGAAAACAAAATTATTTTGTATGAAAATATTGAATATTTTTAAAGAAATAAATTTATTACAAGAACATTGGCAGGCAAGCATAAAATTTGTATATTAAGTGTTTAATAATTGCAATGCAGACGCTTCAAAACTTTTTTAATTAAATTTGAAAAAAAAAATAAAATAAATAAAATTTTTTAAATTAAACAAAAGATTGTGCTGAAATGAAACTTTAAAAGTGTTTGATTTCAATTTGAAAAAAAAAGTAGAGATTTTCTGATATTTTCTAACCTAAAAAAGTTACAAACGGCGCCCCAACATGCTAAATATATTGTTTTTTGAAAACTACAAGCAGAGTTCTCTAAAACTAACAACAATTTTGTAATTGGACCAATAACTTCGTATGCAATTACACGAATATGCACGATGTGATCGTTTTTTCATATTTGTAAATTTGTGTAAAATTTCAGACTTTAAGCTTTGCATTTTATGTAGAAATTATATAATATGATTTTTGCTGGGCTTCCTGGTTTTAATCGTATTATGCTATATCATGCGACTGAAATATTTGATAACACTTGACGCACTGTACGTGAGTACTTTTGTCAGAAATCACTTAAACACACACTGCTTAAATGAACTCAAATAGGCGGTTGAATTTCAAAACTTAACTATTTCTAACGGTTTCTCTTTCGTTCTCTTAAGCGCACTGTCTTTAGTCAAACAATTTATATTAATTAAGAAAATACAAATTACGCAAATACTATACACCTCAAAACGGTCTAAAATACTTTGCGAAATATTTTATTGAAGCTGCGATTTTTCTTTTTCGTCGATGTTGATGAAGTGGAGCTGCGATTACTATTGCTAGCGATGCTACTGCCATTGCTATGACTGCCATTAGTGTTTGTATTACCATTAACGTTATCTGTGGCACTCGTGCCAGTTGTTGCTACACTGCTCGCGGCTATACTTTCGCCCGATGAAAGTATGGCCTCTTCGAGTATGCGAAATGAGTTCTCTGTACGACTGTTTGGTAGTAAAATTTCGGAGAGTGATGATGAGTCCAAACTGACGGTAGGTGATGCGCGCATGAAACCACCACTTGCTGACACCGAACCACTTAACGGTTTCGGCTCGACATTTTTCGAGCGATACCATTCCCAGGAGGTGGATTCATGCGGATGCTTTGTCGATTTACTGTTTCGTAGTTTGTTGCGGCTTTTGCCAAATGGCGATTTAAAGAAAGCCGGTGTTGTTAGACGACTTAACTTTTTGCCCGACTTCTTACTATCCGCGTTAGCGCCATCTACGGTCTCCACACCATCGTCCACTTGATAGCCAGACGGACCTTCAGGCATAAATTCGTTGTATGCCAAATCAGATGTGGGTATGAAATTGTCTAGGTCATCCTCTTCGAGTCGTAGACTTTCATCGTATTCCGCTGCACTGTTTATATCCAGCGATGCCGTATTTTTTGAATTCGCGCTGCCCATAAAATCATGCGATACGGAGGCTTGTCGACGCGGCAGTTGCGTTTTTCGTCTCGATTTGTTGCCAGTGGACTTATTGTGGTTTTCACCACCAGACGCTAGTGGCGGTGCACGAGGTGGTCGTCCACTAACTTTGTCCAAATTTTCCATCAGCTCTGCAGCAGCAACGTTTCCGGCATTTAGCTGGGCGAGATGACGGCGTGCCTGCTGCTGCGCATGTTCGGTATTTGGCCAGGAATGTTTTTCACCTTTGCGTCGCTGCCTGATATTTTGAGCGCTTGGCTCGCCTTCCGCACGCACGATAGTTGCGTCATGCGAGAGTTGCATTCCGCTCATGTTGTTGCTGTAGCAGACGGACATTTTCCGTTCACGATGTGTTGCATTTTTCGCCGCATCGCCAACAGCTTCGACAGTTTTACCATTACTGCTTTCCTTCAGTATCATAAGCGCCTCCTCACTGGGTCGTCTCATTTTCTCTCCGCTCTGCTGATGATCTGAGAAATCTTCAAATGACTTACGTCGATTGAGTTTTCTCTGCATTGCAGCCGCCGCGCTAGCTGTCTTCTTGCGATTCGCGCTGGTGTAGAGCGCTAGCACTTCCTTGGTTTGGCGACGCATCGAACGATAGAAGAGTATACTAACCATGAGTACGAGAAAGACAAAGGCGCCTACAAAGATGATGACCACGATGCATGCGTGCACCTGCAACGACAGATCGTCCAGTTCCTCCTTCAGTTGGGCATTGCGTTGCGCGAGCAATTGTTGTAGCTCGCTTTGGCGGCGATTCTGTTCCTCCAGCGTGCGTACTGTTTGCACCGTTTGCGTGAGTGTGAGTTGTAGCTCTTCCACTTGTTTTTTATAGCGTCGTGACAGTTCCTCCAGATATTGACCCGATAGGGACATATTCCGCTCAAGCGCCTGCAGGAAAAAAGAATCGAGTATTAAAATGAAGTTAAATAGGTGTTAGAAATAAATTAAGTTAAATATAGTGCAAAGGCACCTAAAGTCGGTTAGCAACTGAAAACGCAAGGATAGAGTTAGTCAAGTCAGAGTGTGCTTTCGACGAAAAGCAAGTTTGAACTCACAACTAACTAAGGAACAGTGTAGCAAATTGTTAAAGACTAAATGTATTTTCAACATTTCTATTTTTTCTCATTGTGATAAAAAACGAACTACTCGGCAATGCGCCTAATTGTAAGCGACGTTTTCTTAATATAGATTTATTATGGGATTTTAATGTATTATTCAATATAAGAGTTGTTCGGACAGAGTTTTCAATGCTACTCTCAAAACCTACTGCCGTTACTCTACTCTATTTTCAAGAAAGACAGTATATACTAGTTGTTGTAATTTGTTGTAATGTCAAAAAATTTCCTCATTCTATCTGAGGATGTCTATCCCAAAGCCATTCTTTCAGCGGCGATAAGCATAGATCTGCTCGTGTCCTTCGACGAAGTCTGGCTCTTTTTTAAAGCTTAATATGATTGAAACCGTTTTTAATAGATTTTTTTTTTTTATATCCTCCAAATACATAACGGACATTTAGCGGAGAATTTCTGAACATTTGTATTTTGTTTAAGGACATTTGCTAACTTGGAGAGGAAAAATATTAAATATATTTGACCCACTGTTCTCTAACACCGATTAATTTCTAGACCTGCGTAATACTAAGAAAACAAAAATACATCCACAACAACCAAGCAAAACTAGAAAAACAAAAAAATCATGTGAAGAAATCAAAGAACCTTGCGTTAGTTAAGCTAAACGGAGCAACAATGTCGAACACGCAAATTCGCCATTATTAATTCCCACCCACCGAAGCCATAACGAAGACATGACAATAGAAGGACGAACAGCTTGCTGCTGCACCTTGTATATATCAAAATTGCTGGCTTACTAGTTTAAATAGACGTATGCCTCTATACTTCAGTTTGTCGATCAGCTGACATGACTGAAACAATAACAAACTTTGAAGGATTCTATAGCGAAGCAGCAGGAGCCAATCAGTGGGGTAAATGAGTAGCCCCAACCCTTTAAACGCGAGAATATTAAGTAGGTACTATTTGTCTGATAGGATAACAACAAAGTAACAAGTTCGCTGAGTAAGAGTAACTTTATAAGTGACTTATTATTCACGGCCTGCTATAAGGTGCAGAGGCATTGACGATGATAACATCTGATAAGTCGACGTTACAAGTTTTCGAGAGAAAGGTTCTGTGGAAGATTTATGGTCCTTTGCGCGTTGATCACGGCGAATATCGCATTCGATGGAACGATGAGCTGTACTAGGATATGTCGTCCGTGTGGACGAAAACACTCCAGCTCTGAAAGTATTCGACACAGTACCCGCCGGGGGAAGCAGAGGAAGAGGAAGACCTACACTCCGAGGAAAGAACAGGTGGAGAAGGACCTGGCTTCGCTTGGAATCTCCAATTGCCGCCACCTTACAAAAAGAAGAAACGACTGGCGCGCTGAATTTTTTTAGAAATCCGTTAAATAAATCACCCGGAAGGCAGAAGTAGGATTTATAAAGAAAGGCTTCATAATTTATACAATTAGGCATAATATATTGGAAATTTTAAAGTAAAGCGTTGAGCCGCTTTATTTGCGCAATTCAAAGTGTAAAAAGGGAGAGATTTTAAACCTTTACACAATTGGATGGTTTAAATAAAGCTAATATTACTATATTTGAGAAAAGCTATACCCCGAAACATACCTTAATACGATTGGACAGGCGTATGAAGACGCTCTCCGATTGTGGACCACTGGGTATTTTCTGCTGTAGATTGACGCCGGGCTGACTGCCATGCACGCTCGCTTCACCGCCACTGGGCGCTGCTGTCGTCGATGTAATCAAGTTATCGATATTCTCCCAAGAGGCGGCATCCTCTTCACCGCGTGAGCCCAATGTGGGTGTAACGGTAGTGGCTGACGTTGGCTGCACAGGCGGAGGCGCGTTATCGCTGCCCGTGCTGTCAGCAAGCACTTTTAAACTGTCGCCGTTTGCAGGCGGTATTGAAGTTGTTGTGCTGCTTGGAGCGCTGCTGTCATCACTTGAGTCACCGCTGCTCTGCTGCTCCTCTGTTTGGCTGCCAGCGCTTGGTTCGCTGGGTTGCGATGGTTTTTGCAGTTCTTGTTGTTCGTTATGTGCAGGTACATTGAATATATTTACATCGAGCGTTGGTTCCTTTCCACCGCTTGTTTGTGGCGCATGTGTTGTTGTCGTTGCGTCGTCTGTGTTCGCTTGCGGTGGACGTGCAATTTGCTCTGCTTCCGCTGTCCCACTTTCTGTTGTGCTTGTTGCTGTTGGTGGTGGTGTACCTTCACCGCTAAATATTGCTTCAGCGTTTTCAGTTGCAATGTCGTCACCGAGGTTTGTGGTTTCGCTTGTAACTAGCTTCTTTTGTGAGCCGTCGATGATTCGAAAATCGTCTTTTTTCAATTTCTTGTCGATAGTTAGATTTAAAGGCGGTTCCGTAATCGCATTTTCATCTTGCGTGTCGTTCGCTGCAGCTGTCGTTGGTGATTTCGTTTTTGCTTGCGTCGCTAGCATTTGACATAGCGCGCCTACATATTCTCTTGGCAGCAAATTCAGGTAATAACTGTTTTTCACGTCCATTTGCATGCGCATACCCAGTTCGCCGTAAGATTTCGCTTTCAGTTCAATGCCAAAATCCTTGGCGCAAATGCGCGTGCGCAATAGATCTTTCAGCAGCCATGGCACTCTAAGTAATGCTTGCAGAGACTGATACTCACAGGAGAGCGCATTATTGATGCGCGCTACTAACGGTTGACTACAGTCGACACAGTTATATGGTCCGGTTGCCGGTGAACGACACTGTGTTGTTTGTGCTTGCCTGATTGTGAGTGTCGTATTCTGTTGGTTTGCGGGTTTGACGAGCACTTCGGCCGCTTTCTTGACGATCGAGAGCACGGCGTCGGAGGCGGACTTAAACAGATTCATATCAGGACTCTTCGCATGAACTTGTTCTTGCCCGAATTCATCGTCAAAATCATCCAAATCGATGTGCGGTGTATCCTCCGTTTCGAAAGCTTCGAACTCTGATGTGCCGAAGACGCGAAAAAGTGAAACCGGGCAGAAATGTTCTTTGGAGTAGTGTGAGTGTATGTCAACGCGCACAAATTTGCCAAACAAATGTGGATGTAAGTCAAAACTTTGCACATTGCGCTTATCTTCTGCTATGAAACGACCCACGTTCGACCAATCGCGTGTGGGGAAACGATTTGAGACGGCAACGGTGAAATTTTTCGGCGACGAAGAGAACAACTCAAAATTGGCCAATTCGACTTTTTGCGCTTGTATCGCCTCGCAGAGTTCGACCACAAACCAAATGCGATTGCCACAGGGACTCAACATGTACTCGTCCTTTGAGGAGCTCAACACTGCACCCGTATTGCTCGCATCTGCATTGGAGGCGATTATTTTGGCACCACAATCGGGTGATGCATAGTTCTTGTTGCGCATTTTAAGCGGCGCTGCCCGTTTGCCATCCCCATTGGTGTGATTCTTTTTCAGCGTGGCGGTATTTACTACCTCCTGCTCTTTTGCCTGCTGCTTCTCAGCGGCCTCCATTTGCTTTTGAGCCCATTCGGAGAATACTGGTATGGGCACCTCTTCGACAGTGAGATTTACGGTATTAGCGTCATTGTTATCACCAGCCGCGATGTCCCCTACGGCAGGGGTGGTAGTAGCTGGACTATCGCTTTCATTTTGTGTTGTTCTCGTTGGTGCTTTGGTGGCATTAACAATTGGAATGTTTGATGGAATTTCGCTGGAATTGAGATCTGAGTCCGTCAGCGTCGGCTGTGTGTGTTCACCGCCGCCAGAGTCGTCAAATTTTATGATTTCTTCGTCTGGAAAGATTTTTAAATATTGTAAAATAATTTTTTGTTATAGATCCTCAGAGGGTAAAACATGTGAGAGCAGATACAAGAGGGAAGTTTTAAGCTTTATGACTTTGGCTACGAATAGAAAAAGTACAAAATTTTCTCTCAATTATTGAATTATAGAGACAACGAATGACCTATGTTATCTCAGTGAACTAAAACTTGCATCCGTCAAGGGCAAACTCAACAAGTGTTAGGAAAAGCAACAAATGAACAAATGGTTTTGAGTTTACACAACCTAAGGAGACTATAGAACAAATAAAGAAGAAAAATATTTCATACACACCCTTTCTTATAGCCTCACTGCTGTTCTCCAATACGTCCAATGTATGATTTTCATGCTCTCGCGCAATGGTCTCTTTGGCCGCATCGATGATGAGTGCTTCGATATTGCCGCGCGTGGGCTCTAGTATTTCCAATGGCAATTCTGTCACAGTGATTGTAGGAATCTCCGTGATATCCGGCAAGCTGGAAAAAGTAAAGAGAAAAATAATAATAATAAAGTTAATATTGGTATTAAAATTTTATTAAATTTACAGTATATGGATTTTTTGGCGAATATTTTGAAAAACAATAAAACTATTTAAAAAAATTTATTGTGCTCAACTTAGAAATATATACAGCAACTCACGTATGCACGTAATTTCTGTATATTTGTTGTTGTTTATAAAAATATTTGCATTTATAGTATAACACATTCCTGGTCTTTATTTACCTGAGAAACATCGTCGATATGGCAATCAATTGCGAGAACCAAATCACCCAGAAGAAGATCAAGAACATCGTTAAATTCGTTTTGACTTTCTTCACTTCACCACAAACGAAATTCGTTACGATTTTCAGCAACATTATGATTTTTCAATTATTTGCTTGCTAATTTGCACAGATTCTAAGTAAACAAAGTGGGAACACATATACACAAACACTATTACACATTGCTTTCAAATTAATAGCAACCGGTTAGGAAGGAAAAAATATATTTCTAAGCGTGTTAAATAAAAAAAAAACACTTTTTGGAGGCGTCTAATTTTATTTTTATATTTTATTTAATTAAAAATATTATCACTCAACAGCAACAACAATTAGTTTGTCCCAATTCGCGTATTTGACAACTATTATCACCTCTACATGGTTGACTGACTACTTTAGTGATTACATACATAAAAAAAATAAATAAATAAATAGACAGCAATAATATACACCCACACGTTGGCAAACAAAGCAATTTTAGTGTAGTAAATCAAATTAACGGCTCTCATTAGCAAATACGAAAATTGTAGAGACCACTCAGGTTGCTATCAGCAAAAAACAATCGTTCAATTATTATATATTAACCGATAAATCAACCAGTTATCGAAACTTTTTGCCCAAAAAAAAATTATAATCACAGTTAATATGACAACTGATTATCGAGTTCAAAAAACCCGCTTTGGACATTCCGAGCAGTAGTTTTGAGACACGTCAGCGTGACTATTTAAATGCCAACCAACTGAGTAGATAAGAACTGAGTTAACGAAATTTCGAGTACAAAATGCTTTTCAGTCCACACTACAAATAATATATGAACGAACCAATACACGCACATGTTCGTATTACACCCACTGGGGCATTGAGGAGTCAAAACAATGATAAAATGCACCAGCAACAACTGTTCTTGGTGCAAGATAACAACTTGCGAAACCGAACTGCGGCAGTGCATTACCAAAAGACAATACCAAAAGATTTTGTGTAATTTATATGCGAGCACTTGTATGATATACAAGTGTTTACATATGTAAATACCACCATACCTATGTACATATATATAACGGGTGATCCAAATAAAGGTGCTTTTCTCAATAACCTTTTTTGACAGATCACGCGTCAGTCGTTACAAGCTGTCAGGTTAATTTTATTCAGTTTTGTTGGGTATTTCGTTCTATGGCTCTTTCAAACAAGATCCGACATTTTCGAGCCCAATTTTGTTCAGCGGTGAGGCCAATTTTTGGCTAAATGGGTATGTAAACGAGCAAAATTGTCGTTTGTGGCTCGGTGAATCATCGTCCAATTATCATCCAAAATGATGCCGGTAAGAACGTAACCGTCAATAGCGACCGTTATCGCGCCATAACATCCGACTCGTGATCTCGGTGATATTTGGTTTCATCAAGACGGCGCCACTTCCCATACATCGCATCAATCAATGAGGAGATAATTTCATAATTGGCCACCAAGATCGTTTGATATGACACCTTTAGACTTTTTCTTGTGGGGATATTTAAAATCTAAAGTCTATGCGGACAATCCCGCTTCGATTCAGGTCTTGGAGCAAAATATCAAGCGTATCATTCGCCAGTTGACTGTCGAAATGCTCGAACGAGTCATAGAGAATTGGACTCAACGGATGGACCATCCGAGACGTAGCCGCGGCCAACATTTGAAGGAGCTAATCTTTAACAAATAAACGCCAAAGAATGTTCTTTCGAATGATAACAAACATTTTCCATCAAATTTGAAGATTATTTGCTTTTTTTTTTAAAAAAAAAAGTAAGGAAAATCGAAATGGATCACCCTTTATTGAGGTACATACATTTGTTGTTGACAATACAAAATGAAAGAAGCATGCAAAATTAAAATTTTAATTAAACTTAAAAGCGGAACCTATTTATATAATATATAGATATATAATATATACATATTAATGGAGAAGAAGCACAAAAATACTGAGTACATTTAATTTTATTTCGAACAGGTAAGGAATGTCTAAATTCGAACGGGACTTCATCTACGTCACTAACTTTCCTCTTAGCTAGATGTCTTGCCGATTTTCCGAGCTTGAGTTGATAGTCAACAAATGAAACGTGGAACAAGTGCTCTCTCAACGAACAAAAACCAAACTCTAAAGTCGGTGTTACGAGTTTTCAAGAGAAAGGTTCTGAGAAAGATTTATGGTCCTTCGCTCATTGGCAATGGCGAATATCGTATTCGATGGAACGTTGAGCTGTAAGAGATATACGACGACATTGTCAAAGTTCAGCGAGTCGTCTGAATGAATGAAAACACTTCAGCTCTGAAAGTATTCGACGGAGTACCCTCCGAGGGGAGCGGAGGAAGAGGAAGACCTCCACTCCGTTGGACCTGTCTCTTATACACATCTAGATGTGTATAAGAGACAGTGTCAAAGTTCAGCGAGTCGTCTGAATGAATGAAAACACTTCAGCTCTGAAAGTATTCGACGGAGTACCCTCCGAGGGGAGCGGAGGAAGAGGAAGACCTCCACTCCGTTGGACAGAGCAGGTGGAGAATGACCTGGTTAAACTTGGAATCTCCAATTGACGGCACATTGCGAAAATAAGAAACGGTGTCTACACCAATAAAGAAGAAGAAGATATTCAAAAATATCTCCCTTAAAGGATTTTTTAAAATTCAAATTATATTGAAAATTACAGCCCTAAATCGGTTTGAGCAAACAAAGAAACTTTAAACGCTGTGAACATTTTCCACCTGCTTTATAAGGAAAAACATGCTTTCAACGAACAGGCGCTGAACAGCTAATATGGAGTTATGTGAGGTTAGAATATATTATATACATATATACTTGTATTTGAAATATATACTTAACTTGGACTTCATAAAGAGGGTCTTTAGAGCCCATATGATTTCAATTCAAGAACACATATAAGAGAATTTGCATTCACCATTTGATTATAAATACATTTACACGCTTTACGGCCACTATAAATTAGTTTAAAATATTTCTGGGTCCTTTAATAATATGCACCCACGCATTTGCAAAACTGCGCATATGAAGCGTGACATTATTTCTACCTATTTATAGCATTTTTGTGAAATTTTCGCATTCGCACGTCAAAAGCGCATTGTGTATGTTGGTATGCTGGTATGTGAAACAGTTTTGACACACATTTCGGCAGCCTTCACAGTCGTTGCAAGCGTGTTGACATATAATTACATATTTTTTCAGCCATTTCCCCACACAATGCCAACTTTTGCGCATTTTCACCCATAAAAAAGTGGAAGCGGCGAGAGAGATGCAAAATATAAAAAAAAAAAAAAACAAGAAAAAAAAATCAAGTGAGAATGCAACATTGGTCACACAGTCATTAAATGCGTCAAAGCGAAATTGTGTGTTTTGTTGAATTTTCTTAGAAGCGTTGTTATGCATAAAATACGTAAATTATTCGTTATTGTTTGCACGCTGCATTTGACAATGAAATTTTGTCAGAAATTTTTTTCTAATTTCGCAATTTGCTTGGTATTATTGTTTTTTTTTACTTTTCGTTTTGTTCCGAGTCACAGCTGATTGCTTACTTGTGTCTGAAGCGCAAATATGTTAATCTACAAGTTTTTGTTTTATTCACCAGCATACACTACACCAAAACGCAGCATCACCTGCTGTGCATTCACGAATTACATACAGACATCTTATCTTAAGCTGCACTTTTTATAGTCGCACTTGGCGCAGCTTGCCAGTTTGCTAGTTTGTCAGCTTCGCGTTTTGCATTTTGACATTTCTTCGCAGCTAACGATTTGCATTCGTGCACAAAACACTGTTGGTGAATGCTGTCTGCCTGAGTAGCTTTAACTCGAAAGCATTTAATTTGTATGTAGATAAAGAGGCAAGATAAAGCATCGCTTTTTTTCGAAACACGCACGGCTAATTGCCTACCCCGTCGTGGCTGCCGTCGCCTCACCTGAGACGGCTAAGCGCCAATTAAGCACAGCGGTTGTCATTTGCATTTAGTGTTACAATTTTTAATAGCTTTTGCCGAAGCTACATACATACTATGCATATGTTCGTGCAATATTTATGTTTGAAAAAAACACTAGAAATGCATGAATAGAGAAAAAATTACTGACAAAGTTATTTAAGTATGCATTGTTGACATCGGAAAAGTAATAATAAAGTTATAATTATGGCTTTTGTTGATATTTTTTTAACTGAATTAATTAAGAATGCTTTTTTCTTTATAAATAGCGGCTTGAGTTCGTTGAAACTATATGTTAAATAACTAATCGATAGAGGAATTTCTTAATGCTTTTGTAACTACAAGGTGGTTCACAAAACTCAAACTCACTTAAGTATAAAAAACTTAGCCCACATCAGCGATCAGTCGCATTTCTGTTTCAATAGATACTTAATTACTGTATATGGAGAGCCAAGAATCTCGAAGAGACTCTGCAGGCTTCATCGCATACCTAAAGCTCTTAATACATCCTGCAAAAATCCTCGTCCGTATAACAAAACACTGGCACAGTTGATTTCCATAAAAGTATCAAGAGGTGAATTTTTAGCCACCAAATTATTCGTCTTAAACAGGAACTTGATGCCAGGTCGTACGTTTCGTACGGTAGGTGAATGCATAGGAGCCTCTCTATTAAACTACCGGAGTTACTGGCGAGTTCCTATCGATTGTATGTGGTTTGACGTTGTCCTTATGAAACACAATTCCCCTCCTATTGGTTAAAAT